TGTGCAGAAACTGCTATCCAGGGAAGAAAGACTAAAGTTGGGTATTTGTTCTTCAGTCTCTCAAATGAAAAAAAGAGCCAAGAGGTTGCGACTGCAAAATGTCAATGGAGATCAAAAGGGACTTATACTAAAATTCAAACAAAGCACAATCCAATGAGCATAAATACTTCTGCTCAGTGATGGACACGAATGTGGTTTTTCACTGTCTTTACAAATCTAGAAGAAGCAGCTTGTGAAAGATGCAGTGGCCTAGGTCAAGGAAATTTCTCTGCATTTGAAAAATGAAATGAACATCATGCACTTGTTCTGCTTCAAACATTGTCAAAACTTGCAGAAAATTTTGCTGCAAGTAGAAAAGGGAATACTCCTGGAGAAAGATACTACATCAGATTCAGTTGCTCAGGGTAAGAGGTCCCCAAAATTGCTTCCTTTCTGGGTGGATCTTGTTTAGCTCAAACAACAATCTAATATTTCTGGACATTGGTCAGAGCTTCCTTAGTACCTTGTCAATGAGGATTCTTTGTGGAAAAAATAGGCTCTGTTACCTGTAATCTCCAGAAAATAGTCCTCAAAAATATTTCTCCAGCTGATGCTTATCAGAACTTCTGCCTCATTTTTGGTGGCCATGAGACTCCAACACATCTGGCCCTTCAAGAAGACTATCAAAATTATATGCTTTCTCCACTGTATGAGGTCTTTGGACACCCAAAATGTAATCGGCATTATCTCAGGTAGGTATATTGTTCTGTCACAAGTAAGTCATCAGTGAGCTGATCTCTCCTCCTCCCCCAAAATCAACCAGTCTGACAAACTCTTTTTTTTTTTTTACTGTTTTCTATTTTACAACTAGAAGACATTGCAATTCAGTGGGGACAGGATTGACAGTTCAATAAATAATTTGGCGTCAATTGAAATTATATAGGAAAAAATCAATCCTTATTCCATATATAAATTCAAGATGAAATTAAACTCTATTAAAAGTAAAACTTCCAATCCCTGGCTGGTGTAGCTCAGTGGATTGAGGGCAGGCCTGCGAACCAGACAATCGCAGTTCAATTCCCAGTCAGGGCGCATGCCTGGGTTGCAGGCTGGTCCCCTGTAGGCCAGTTCCCAGCAGGGGACGCACGAAAGGCAACCATACATTGATGTTTCTCTCCTTCTCTCCTTCCCTTCCCCTCTAAAGATAAATAAATAAAATCTTTTTAAAAAAAGTAAAACTTCCAGAAGAAAACTGGAAAATAGCTTCATAACATTAGTGTAGACAACTTTTTGTGAAATAGAACAATATCAGTGACCATTAAGATTGATAAATTGGCGGCCCTGGCTGGTGTAGCTCAGTGGATTGAGCACAGGCCTGCGAACCAAAGCATCGCCGGTTTGATTCCCAGTCAGGACACATTCCTGGGTTGCAGGCCATATTCCCAGTATGGGGTGTGCTAGAGGCAACCACACATTGATGTTCAACTCCCTCTCTTTCTCCCTCCCTTCCCCATCTCTCTGAAATAAATAAATAAAATCTTTTAAAAAAAGATTGACAAATTGGACTTATTAAAAGTTAAAACTTCAAAATACAAAATTAAGAGCACTGAAGGCATGCCACAGACTGGGAGGAGATACTTGTAACATATATATTTGACAAAGGACTCTACTCACAATATTTAATGAAGTATAAGTCTATATTTTAAAAAGACTGGCAACCAACCTAAATTTTAATGGAAAAAAACATATGAAAATGTATAGAATATTATTGGTCATCAAAAAATACAATTTAAAATTCTAAAGCAATATCACTACATCCTAGTCAAATACCTAAATTAAAATGATTGACAATAGCCAGTATTGACTAGGCTGTGAAGCCATCAGCAGCCCCATACATTGTTGTTAGTGGTATAAACTGGTACATTTATTTTTGAAAACTGTTTAGCAGCATCTAATACTGTTAAACATGACCCAGTAATTCCATCTATCTATCTATCTATCTATCTATCTATCTATAATCTATCATCTATCTATGTATCTGATAAATGAGTGTTTATGTTCAGCTACAGCCATGTACAAAAAAGCTCAGTTTTTTTTTTAAAGATTTCATTTATTTGTTTTTAGAGAAGGGGAAGGGAGGGAGAGAGAGAGGGAGAGAAACATCAGTGTGTGGTTGCCTTTTGTGTGTCTCCAACTGGGGACCTGGTCCGCAGCTCAGGCATATGCCCTACCAGGAATCAAGCCAATGTCAAACCAATGACATTTCTGTTCAAAGGCCAGCACTCAATCCACTGAGCCACACCAGCCAGGGGCCCTTCACCTTCTTTCAAACAGTCCTTCCTCCGTCCTCCCCTCTTAGGACTGTCAGTCTGTTGTGTGATTCTATGCCTCTGGTAGTATATTGGTGATGGTTTATTTTGTTCATTAGAGTCTTCTTATTAATGAGATCATATGGTATTTGTCTTTCACTGACTGGCTTATTTCACTTAGCATGATAGTCTCCAGTTCATGCTGTCACACAAGGTAGGAGTTCCTTTTTTCTTTCTGCTGTGTAGTATTCCAGCATGTAAATATACCACAGTTTTTTGATCCACTCATCTACTTATGGGCACTCACACTGTTTCCAACTCTTGGCTATCATAAATAGTGCTGCTATGAATATCGGGGTACATAAGCCCTTTTGAACTGGTGTTTCAGGATTCTTAAAGTATATTCCCAGCAGTGGAATCTCTGTGTCAAAAGGTAGTTCTGTTTTTCATTTTTTGAGGAAATTCCATACCATTTTCCACAGTGGCTGTACCAGTCTGCATTCCCACCAACAGTGCACTAAGGTTCCTTCTTCTCCACATTTTCACCAGTACCTGTTGTTTGCTGATTTATTAATGATAGCCATTTTGGCAGGTGTGAAGTGGTATCTTATTGTAGTTTTAATTTGCATTTCTCTGATGGCCAGTGATGTTGAACATTTTTTCATATGTCTATGGGCCATCTGTATGTCCTCCTTGGAGAAGTATCTATTCAGGTCCTTTGCCTATTTTTTAATTGGATTGTTTGTCTTCCTGGTGTTGAGTCATATAAGTTCTTTATACACATTGGAGAGTAAACCCTTGTCCAATGTATCATTGGCAAATATGTTCTCCTACATGGTCGGTTCCCTTTTCCTTTTGATGAAGTTTCTTTAGCCCTGCAGAAGCTTTTTAATGTGATGTAGTCGCATTTGTTAATTTTTTCCCTTTATTTCTCTTGCCCTAGGAGATATATCAGCAAAAATATTGCCATATAGATATCAGAGATTTTTATAGTCTGTGTTTACTGCTAGGTATTTTATGGCATCATGGCTATATAAAGTCCTTTCCCCTTTTGAGTTTATTCTGCTGTATGTTATGAATTGGTGGTCTAGTTTCTTGTTGTTACATGTACCAGTCCAGTTCTCTCAACACTATTTATTGAAGAGACTATCTTTACTCCATTGTATGCTTGTACTCCTTTTGAAAATATTAATTGACCGTAGAGACATGGGTTTATTTCTGGGCTCTCTATTCTGTCCCATTGATCTGCATGTCTGTTCTTATGCCAGTACCAGACCGTTTTGATTACAGTGGCCTTATAGCATAGTTTTATATCAGGTATTGTGATTCCCTCCAACTTTGTTCTTCTTTGTCAAGATTGTTGAGGCTATTTGGGGTTTTCTTATTTTGGGGGGTTCCATATAAATTTTTGTAGTATTTGTTCTAGATCTCTGAAAAATGTCATTGATATTTTAATAGGAATTATGTTGAATCTATAGATTGCTTGGGTAGTATAGACATTTTAATAATGTTAATTCTTCCAATCCATGAACATGCTATATGCTTCTATTTATTTGTATCTTCCTCAATTTCTTTCTTCAGTGTTATATAGTTTTCTGAATATAGATATTTTGGGTCCTATTCAATTGGTTTAAATTATTTTAAACCAAAATGTTTTTTAAAACTTGCAATATCAATTTTCATAGCTCCAGTTCCTTGCTGAAATTTTAAAGTTCATTTTTATATTCATGAAGCTGGTAAACACAGTTATTATGCAGGTTTGTCTGACAATCCAGTATCTGGTGTCCCAGTCACACTGAGTCAGCCCTTGTCCCTCTCATTCTGCAAGTGCCCCAAGCACAGTTCTGCCTCTCAGAACAGAAGCGGCTCAGAAGGGGGCTGCCTCCTGAGGTCCTAGACCAGGGTGGGAAATTCTGCCTGGGGCAGACACCAGAGTAAGACTACATCCCATGTCCCTAACCCCAACTCCACCAAAAGCATGGTTTTCTCTCTCCCCAACTTCTTCCAGACCAGCAATGTCCCAGGGCTGAAACTGTTCCAGCTCACCCTCTCTTGAGTTCCAATCATTCCTTGATCTAGGTTTGGTAATTCTTCCCTCTCTTATTGGCACTTTAATGCTTTTAAGAAATATTAAGATTTTTAAAATATATATTAACTGTAGCTTTTTAGTTGTCTTCAGAGGGAGAGTTGGTCTGAATGACCTAGTCTGTCATACTATAACCTGAAATCATGTCTATTTCTCATTGTAACACAAAAGTCTTGCCTTAATTTGCAAGAACATCACAAGTGAACCCATTACACTCCTCCTATTTCTTTTTTTTTTTTAATATGGAGCACTTCACAAATTTGTGTGTCATCCTTGCACAGGGGCCATGCTAATCTTCTCCGTATGATTCCAGTTTTAGTATATGTGCTGCTGAAGTGAGCACTCCTCCTATTTCTTTGTAGCCATAATTCACAAAGACCCTGGAGTGAATTCACATCTTATAATTGCTAGGTAACTAAACTTATTATAGCTAGCTTTAAGTACATAGAAAGCTACTTTTTTTGAGAATTCCAACTTTAATTGGCCTAACCAGCACACTGAGCCTAAGGTCTTCAGCACTAATTTTCCGTGAAAAGTTTAGCAATAAAGATGAATGGATAAAGTAAATGTCTTGATAAAATGACTCAATGATTAAATAGGAAAATAAGATTTTAAAAAGACAATACCATTTACGGGATGTAGGGCTTCATTTTGTATCAGTGCTAAAGGGGATGATGTTATTTCCTCTTCCTTTTGCTGGCTTTTAAAATCATCATCTATGGAGACTGTAAGCCCTGAGAACTTCCATTCAGTGTAGCTCACCTGCTTCAAAATATAAACAACAAATAAAATTACACGTAATTATGGTGTACAAGTATAATAATTTAATAAAATTAATAATAACATAAAACTACATGTGAATATATAATTAATATAAACTAGTATAACATACTGATGTAATATATAATTATATGAGCATATAGTACAATCTCATACATACATACTTCTAGGTGCTACATAATAACTTTAATCCAATTTCCTATGAAGAAAAAGCAGTATCAAGTGTGTAGTAGGTGTTCAATAAATACTTGTTCTTTAGTTTATTTTGATTACAGTTGAAGTGGACAGGTTAAACCTGTGGCATTAAAGTTCTAAGGATAAATTGCATATTACACAATTTCTTGAATTAAATTACATTGAAATGAACAGTCCAGAGGTTTATTTAAATACCTGTGTTTGTGGAAACACAAGAAAGCCATGTGGCCACAGAAAGCCATGATTATTGCTTATCTTCTGTGTCTACTTCTGTTTCTTCTTTTGAGTAAATATTTGGGGATACTACAACCTGCATTTTAGTTCCTCGGGATTTCTAAGGCCTTACCTGTAGTGTATTTCCATTTAAGATGTTACGACTGAGATACTCCATCCTGTTTCTTCCTTGGAGATCTGTTCTTCTGCCATGTTTTCTTCTCGAGTAGCCTGCAACCTGGTGTTCCCTTTCCTTTCTTTCTCCCACATGAGGAGGTTTTCTCTTAGCTGGATACTGGCCAGCTTTAATGGGAATCTCGGCAGATACCACCTGGTCCTGCATACAAGGATTAGAGACAGCCTTGTAAGACGATAGTTTAACAGCCTGGATACTTCAGAAAGGAATTTGTAGGCTAACATTATACTTCACTTCTCTCCTGCCATAGAGCTGAGAGATGCCATCTCTCTCTTCTCCCCACAAACTGGGCCCCCCTCCCGGAGACTGGCTCCATCAAAAGCCTCACAGCATTATGAGGGATGCTGATTAAGTCTTCAGAACATGAGACTTTCACAGAAGGAACTTCTTTTCCTCCAGTTTTAATGCTGTTTCCTTCAAATATGTTCCACAGGATTGGGGAAGGTCTGCTACCTGGGTAGGAAAATAAGCCTTTTCCTCATCACATGAGATATCTAAACTCTTGTCCATGCCATTCTCCTCAGTCTGAGCTTCTGGTTTCAGGAAGTTTTCTGGGGGGAGGTAGCAAGACTTCCAATCCAGTTGTAGCTGAATCGATCCATTGGGTTTCCCCACAGGGTCAGTGAGGTTAAAATCACCTGAGAGACACACAGACATTAATAAGATCTAATCAAATAGGCAAATAAAATAGGCAAGTGAGCATTTATTAGCACCTTATCTATTCCCCTGTTTTTTAATTTCACCATATTTTGTTTGTAATTAAACCTTTGTCAAATAATCATGATGATAATACCTTCAGAATTAACATAGAATGGCCTTGCATACTTATATCCCCATAGAATATTTACTTATATTATTCCTTTAAAATGTTTGTAGGAAAAGATGTGTATCTCCAGGTTTCAGGAAGGATAGTCAAAGGATATATGGAGAGGAATAGCTTGCTTGTCATCAGTCACCCAGTCAATAAGCAAAATCACATTATTATTACTATTACCAATACTTGCTATGCCTTAGGCATACCAAGAAAACCATTATCTTCATTCAAGCAGTCCTAATTTCTAAAATAACAAAAGCCAGGGAAACTGAAGCAAATAGTTTTCCCCAAATGCCAGACTTTTGATTTGTAACCCTGATTAATATAACAGATGACTCACATTATCTCTCCTCTTTGGCAAAAGAGGAGTTGTGAGCAGAAGTGTCAGGGTTTTTTTTTTAAGCACTGAGATATTGTGATGAGAGAGGCCTCACACACTTCCTGGAACATCCAGATGCTTGTTAAACATGGTCGGTATACTGGCTGTCCCAGCCACATTTCCTAATGAGAGCATGGATACCTCTGCATCACCCTTCCAGAGAGTTTAGCCTTCCCAGTTGTACCTCACAACCCTGTGTTTGAAAATAAAGTAAGGTTGTAGGAAGTGAAGCTTCATCTTGAGGGGAAAAAATTTAAGAAATTTCCCTTAGTCATGGTATGGCATGGAAATCTTGCTAACTTGTGTCTAATGTAAAGGATGCAAGAGAATGATGGAGGAGTGTTAGGGACACAATTCATAATCTGATATCTAGTTGTGTACTAAGAAACAATAGGCTTTAAGTAAAGACAAACACTACATAATCTGAAAATGTTTGTTCAGAGATAAAGGTATAGACTTCAGGTTGGTGGGTCTACCCACTCGGGAATCTTGCTTCAGTTTTTGAAAAGAAGCAGAAGAAACCAATGTTTTTATGTGATTAGGGAGGTTCTCAGTCTGCTCTTTTGCTCTTGACAATATGCTAAAATCCTTTCAGCAGGTTTTAAGAAAGACTGTTCCAAGCAAGTAATCAAAGAAAAGTAGAATTAGGACAGAAAGACAATACTGGGCAGAGACCTTAAAAATGCAGCAATCCTGAACTCCCACCTTTAATGGATTTGTTTTGTGCAAGAGGCAGCAAGGGCACTTCAACTTTGCCAAGGTACGAGCCAGGCTCTGAGTCTTCATCATCAAAAACATAAATAGACAGGGCCTCCCGCCTCAGATACTGATCCAGGTCAGAGGTCACAAGCACTGGGAACTGAGCCTGATCTCTGAAGTAGGGATTGTTACTGGCTGGAATGATGGCAGTGTCATGATCAGAAAAGGTGAAAAAGCGGTACATGGCGTACGGACTGGGTTGGCTTCCCAGCCACCGACTCTGGAGGCCACAGCATCTGGTGATTTCCACCCGCAGCTCATTCTGATGCTTCCAAGTCTCCGATCTGGACTGGAGAGATGGGGGTCTTGGATAGAGGAAAAGGGCAGCCTGAAAAAGTTGTCGTAGGTGAAACCCAGCACCCTGATGAGCAAGAGCTATGACCTAGAGAACTGTTGAATCCTGCCTGGGTCACAGAGAAACCTAATGACTTTGCAACCTGCCTGGGAACTGGCTCTAGCAGATGGTTATCTGAGGGAGATGCTGGCACTCAGGCCTTATCTTGGAGAATGGAACAGAGAAGCTATTTTGTTCACAGCAGGGAGAGGTAGCTAACTTCAAGGGCATGGTTTTATTTCAAACTCAGACTTGACCAAGGAAAGAATCTGGGTTGGTTGCGATATGACAGTTTTTCTCTTTCATCCACATTCAGTGTGAGAACGGGAGAATGAGCAGTTCTTTATGAGCTGCGTGGCAGAGGCTCCTTTGAGTTGCATGGGCTCATCCTTTTTCTCACCTCATCCTCCTGGGCCCTCCAGGCTCCACACACATTGGCTGACAGGTAGGCCTGGGCTTTCTTTCGCTTATTGTATGCCTGTAGGCTGGATCTTATGGGGAAGTGCAGCCTCATCCAATATTCTAGCACCCCAAAGTCTTCTCCACCAGCTCCTGGGTAGCAGAAAGTATGAAAGGCATGGAGGATACAGATGGTGTGGTGAAGATCAATAATAAAGACAGAGGAAATGGGAAAGCACCAGAAAAGCAATCATAAACTTTGGGAAATACTGCATTAGTCCCAGGAGCTGTGGGAAGCCGACAGCACTTACCAGTAAGTGTGGCAGAGCCATGAACTCTCTCCACAGTCTCCAGCACCCTGTCAAAGTAAATCCATCCAGCTGCAAGGGTGTGGTGCTCACTGGCTAGCACCTGGTAAAGATCAAGCTGGGCTGAAGCCCCTTGGAGGTAGTGCAAGAAAAAGGAATCTGTCTCTACAACATACTGGGAGGTGAAGTCATAGAGGGGCTTTGGCCCCACAGCTAGTGGGGTACAGTGGGTTTCAAAGTCATAGAAGGAATAGGTGCAGAAGGTGGTAGGTTGAGGGTCTTCAGCCTGAGCCAGAGCAGCAGATGTCAGGAAGGCCTGATGGATGTGCAGCTCAAAAAGATTCTCAGTGTGATGCCGCAGAGGAATGTCCACTTTATCCTCATCTCTATGGGCTGGCAGTGTTTCCAGACATAGTGACATCTGTTGGGTACCATAAGCCACATCTTTGAGCTGTTCTAGAAGGGAAAGAAAACTGCCTTTCCATTAAAGGGCAGGGAGCTCTCTCAGAATAAAGGAAGGTGGACAGAAGGAGAATAGGAACCATGCTGGAAGTCCAAGTTGTGATTATTTAAGAAACCATGTGATTCAAAAGGAAAAGCAGCAGAATGACAACCAGGAGCTTTCAATTCTGATGGCTAAATAATCCAATGTCTCCTTTAGAGATATGGTTCAAAGTGAGTGATTGGAAGGTAAACACTAAGCTCAGGAAAACACCAGGGGCATGATTTCTTCTATAAATGATGTTTTGGCTTACAGCAAGGTCCTATGGATTAATTGGTAATTCCATCAGAGAAGCACTAGAAACAGAAAATATATTTCCAAAAGTTCGGGACACTGGCCATGGAAAGAATAGAATTTACAGTCACAGTGGCTATTACATTACATTGGACCCCACCAAGGAATGATTCCCCTTCTTCAGCCAGGTCAGTCACGAGAGTCTTCATTCTGTTAAGAATTTGGTTCTATTATAAAAAGGCCCCCCAAAATCGCTTTAACTTAAACAGCAATGGAGTTAAAACGTGGGGGAGGACACATTGGAAAGGGGTTGAAAATATTGGCAATGGAATGCAAAGATATGTGAGACAGTCTACCAGATCAGTGCATCCATCACCTCCCATGTTCAACCAATCAGAAACTTTGAGATCGGGGAGTATTTGAGTCTTTAGTGTGTTTATCGTGCAGTTCCCATTTAAAAAGTTAAAGTCATAAAATAAAAATATTTGGATACATTAGAATTTCTTCCTGTCCCAAATAAGTGGAATACAGAAATTGACACCAGTTTCTTAATGGATAAGATTAATGTAATTCAATAAAATAAAATTTTAAATTTCACACTACATGACAGAGGGTTAACAATCTTAGCATATAAAGAAATTCTACAAATCAATAAAATATTATTAAGAAACAGATAAAGGACAGAAACAGGAAATTCTCAAAAGAAAAATACAATAAAAATAATGTAAAAATGTTTTTAAAAATTTTTAAAGAAATAATACAAATAACTGGCAAACATATGAAAAACTCGTCAGCCTTACCAATAATGAAAGAACTATAAAGTTAAAGCAAATGAATCTTCAGGAGTAGATAAGGGTATTTATCCTGACCTGTCCCAGGAGAAAGACCCTGAATCTGAAAGACATGAGAATTTTAATCCAAGGCAGGATTTCCTTCATTATATGACAGTGACTTTGTAACTGACCCCGGCATGGATAAATCATGCCCCAGAAAGTCCCACCTCCCTTTACTCTAGTTCCAGCCCCACTAAGTAATCTGCTCATGGGCTCTGCATGCCAGGGAGAGGACAGGGCTGCCCTGAACAGTGATTCCAAATATGCTCATGGCGTCAGTGAAACAGCCACTGTCCCTTAGACAGCAAATGAACATTCTGGCTTCGGTATCAGCCTGCAATGAGTTTTGCTTAGTCAGGTCTCTCACCACTGGATATAATAACAAAACCAATTTTCTTGACATGGGAGACTGAGACCAGAATCCTGGTCAGTAGTGACTGTACTGAATACAGGAAGTTCCACATTATGAGATTTGCCTAAGTGCCAGCCTGCTGCCCTGTTATGCCGACATCCTCAAGTTACAACAACAAGTTTAGAGGCTTTAGCTTTAGAGGCTTTCAGAGAGAAATCATATGAAAGGATGAGTGATGAAGCTCTGTATCTCCCAAGAACTGCTACATAGGCCTGGAGTGAGAGAACAGTTTTTGTGTGTGTGGGGTTTTTTTTTTAAAATTTTATTCATTTATCTTTGAGGGGAAGGGAAGGAGAGAGGGAGAGAAACATCAATGTGTGGTTGCCTCTCATGTGTCCCCCACTGGGAACTGGCCTGCAACCCAGGCATGGGCCCCGACTGGGAATCGAACCCTGATCCTCTGGTTCACAGGCCCAAGCTCATTCCACTGAGCTACACCAGCCAGGGCAGAGAACAGCCTTGACAGAGGTAGTGTCTATGCCTCCCTGAGGGTCAGCGGTGATCTGCTCTCATTCTCAAAATGGATTCAGCAATTGCTGGGTCCTGCGGAATCTCTCCAGAGAAATCAGAAAGAGGTTGATGTGATGGAGCAAAAGAAGCTGCTAACCACATATTAAAACAACGAAGACAGTAGGATAAAGAACAGGAGGAGTAAGTTATATGTCAAGGACTTAAGAAGTGGCCTTCCAGACAGATACACAGAGGCGAGCACAGACATTAGCAGTGTGACAGATTCCAGGGTAAGGAAAACAAAATACTAAGACTTGCCAGTGAGTGGGAGGCCATGGCTTCTTAAAATACCTTCCAGCTGCTTGATACGATGGTTCTTGAGGTCTAGGAGTTGATTCAACCTCCCCAGTTTTTCTTTGTGATCTTTGTTGTCGTTATCGGCTTTTGTCATCATTGCCTCCAGTTCTTCCTGAAATGAAATAATAATGTCTGAAATTTTCTGTCTCAGAAAATTTGGCCCAGAACTAAAGAGTCTAGATAAAAGCTGGTACTTGTGGGGTAGAGGAGATTCCAGTGTCTCCTTAGCAGAGGAAATTCATCTATTAGGAAAAATTTGGATAGCTCACAGACCTCTCCAGGACCGGTAGTGCTATTAGTGCCATAGGGTAGCATTTTTCTGGAACTGTCAAAATTTAAAACCAGGAGGTTCACACCTACCACTTTCATGAGCTAGCTCCTTCACTGGCTTCTGTTGCCATGTGTCATAGGCATGTATGAGACCTCAAGTTTTTCAAAGGACAGCACTTTCTGTGTCTGCATGGGACAACGCATCACCTTGCATCAGCCCTGGAAACTCAGGTCTTGCTTCGTCCCCAGTCTGTAAGTGGTTCCCATGTGCCTATTTATCTATCCCCGTCCTGCACCATCTTTTCTTGCACCTGATAACACACGTTGATTTTGTGCTGCAGAATAAGCATTTCTCTGGTCTTTTCTAGTTCCAGTGTGGTTTCTGCATGTGATACTTGCAATTCACTTAACATCTGGGACAGTTTCTTTTCTTCTCGGTTTTTTGGTTCACAGAGCTATAGAGGAAAACAATGGTAGATGGGAACATAAATATAATAGGTACAACAATAACTATTCTCCATAAAGCAGTTGTTGGTAATAGTAAAATATTAGCAGCAGAATCTATTCCGAGATGTAAAAGAGGACTTGTGTTAAATTCACAAGTGCTCTCTCTCCTAGTTCCTCACGCTTAGTAGCAGCAGTGAGGAAGGTATATGGTCTCTAATGGCTGTTTGCTCTTCAGCAGCTGATTTCAAGTCCTCATCTGGAAAATATTAAAGACATTTAAGCTGTAAAGTGTAAGGAAAAATGTGTGGGGTTCATGAAGCTATCTTCATTTTCAATCTTCTCATATTCTTCTAAATACTGTCCTCAATCAGGACAAAATATTACTCAGTTAGTGTTTGATCCCTTTATCTTTTCTAGGGATATTTTCCAGAGATCTCTCTGTAGAGGGGGCCTGCTTGATTTAAAATGCACATACCTCTGTCTGAGTGGCCTCTTGGAATGGAGCTGGATATGTGGCTGGTTCGGATGGCCTGTCAGGAGATTGGGAAATTGTGTCTTTGTTTTGGAGGCTCTCTACTTCCTGTTTATGTTTCTGAAGCAGGTTGGTGACTTCAAGCTTCAGATCCTCGTTTTGAGCTGGAGGAAATGTAATCCAGAAAGTGAAACTCTGTAGTTATCAGTAACCGTGGTTAAAGCTGGACCGGTATAAATAAAATGTTCCCTCTAATGTTTAATTTATTTGATAAATTTACCCTCAGAGAAGCAGTTCTCTTCTAATTCTACAAAGGAGTTCTAGCTTATTAACCCGGGAAGCAGAGTTGACCTTTGGGCTCCAAAAACAAAACAAAAACACCTGCAGAACTGTAGCATGTAAGGGAGAACAGACAAAATCAGAACCACTTGACTGACTGCAACAGTCCAAACTTTTCTGACAGCACCATCCAAACCAGTACTGCAACAACTTCTCTCCAAATCCATTCTGAGTTCTGTGCTATTGAGTCTTTGTGGCACCCACTCCACACCCTCCCAAATCTGGAGAAAGAGTGAGTATTCAGGCATCTGTGTGTATGTGGGTGTGTGCTTTAGGGAAGAAAGGTCTTCATTGTTTAGTGTGATCATTCCATTATCATGCATTAAACAAGGAGTTAGATTAGATTACTCTAAAGTCTTTACAAGGCTTCACTTGTACTTCATACCCACTACAAATCTTCAACATGTTCTCCTAGCTTTATCCTTTTATGGTTCCTGTCTCTATTTTTCAATTATTTTTATTTTTTTTTAATATTTTATTTATTTCTCTTTAGAGGGGAAGGGAAGGAGAGAAATATCAATGTATGGTTGCCTCTCGTGAGTCTCCTGCTGGGAACTGGCCTGCAACCCAGGCATGTGCCCTAACTGGGAATCGAACCGCAACCGTGTGATTCGCAGGCCCTCGGTCAATCCACTGAGCTACACCAGCCAGGGCTATTTTTATTTTTTTTAATCACAGTTTACATTCAATATTATTTTGTACTGGTTTCAGGTGTACAGCATAATGGTTAGACAATCATATACTTTACAAAGTGATCCCCTTGGCATTTCCGGTAACCAAATGGCACCATATATAGTTATTACAGTATTATTGGCTAATTCCCTATGATGTACTTTAAATCCCCATCACTGTCTCTATTTTTTGATGCCATAGTTCTCTTCCTTCACTCTCCTACGTGAATATACTAGAATATGATGAAATAGAAGTTTGATAAGACTAACTATCAAGGTATAGGCTAGCAAAAAGAAGTGAAGCAAAAGTCTTTTTGATAGTATTTCAAAATCATTGGGTCTTTTTTTCAAACTTTATGTTTGTTTCCCTTTTAAGAGATTCTGATATATGCATGCTGCAGTAACAAGTATGTGCTACATCTCCATGGCTTACCACAACAAAATTAAAGTGTGTGCTCCAGAAGTCCAGTATGGATCAAGAGGTTCTTTTCCATGTGAGTTTTGGGATTAATCAGCTTTGGTTTTTTGGCTCTAATATTTTGACATGTGGCCTCTGATGCAGCTTATACAAACTAAGCAACTAAAACAACTCAGCCAAGAGGACAGGATGCCGAGCCACTACCCTGCCTGCCAATTGCCTCCTCAGCCAGGAAACACAGAACGTGCTGTTCTCAGTGCGGTAAGCCCCTAAAAATCTCTGGCATGGCTATCTACTGTGATCCAAGAGTTAGGATAGGGGAAATGGTAGTGGTAACAAAGAGCAGTAATTTGTTTCTCAATTTCAGGTATCAGATGCTTAAAAAAAAGGCTGTCATCACCTCTAAAATGATTAATAAGAATAAAAGGCAGGGAACTTCATTTTTCATACTTTCAATAAAGTAAATGTTTAAAAACATAGTAAATTAACAATTGGCATTCTTTCAAAATAGGAAGTCCTTATGTAGAAACGAGTGTGCATTTGAGGTAGGAAATCATGCTTTCTAGATTGTAAACTTGATCTGGTTGCTGGTGTGCGGATTTTAGTTATCCATGACCAAGTGGGGGACTGGAGAAATGCTGGTCCACATTCCCTTCTCCCACACCAAATGTAGGGGATGCCTCATTAGAGACAGCTCTTCAAGACCCAACCTACCTTTCTCTCTGGACAGCTGAAGTAAGACTTTTCTCTTCTCCTCCAGCTCAGCATCCAGCTGATCCTGCAACTGAGAGACTTTCTGCTGTAGCTGTTCTCCTACAAGCTCATTGCTCCACTGTGGCTGATTACTGCTGTCCAGCATGCTGACCACAGGAAGCATGTAAGGAGGGAGGCAGTCTTGTCAGATGGACACTCAAAGGTGTTTGATAAAATGCCTTTATTATACAGTTTCTGCATCTCCTGGGCCTAGTTCATCATTCATTCCCCTACATGTTTTTCTGCCCCTCCTTTAACAGTCATTTACCAACTGCCTTGGAATTTTGGGGTCCTATTGAGTTCTTTAGTATCACTTCTATTTAGGTCTCAAATATCCCACTGTACAAACATCCAAATCATATCTATTTCCCATATTTATTTCTCCAGCCTGGTGGCTTTCTTCAATCAGGGAACTGTGTACCAAGACATTCTCAGGTCTGCTAGGTTAGACATGGGGAATGAAATGTTCCTCTTTTCCTTACTTCATTCCTCCACCTACCATCACCAATGGCTGGTTTAGAGAATACTCGCCTTTGAACTACATTCTGGATTACTACACTAAAGGGCAGGAAGCAAAAGTTTCAACTTTTCAGTGGCTGTACCCTGCACACAGTATCAGGGCAGACCCATTTTGAGAGTAAAACACGCAAAGGCAGCCCTTGATTGTTCACACAAGTGAAGTGATATTGGTAATGAAACTATTATTACTGCTTATATCTTTTTTCTTCATCATTTTAAGAAATATGGTTTAAAAACAATTTGCTTAGGCTAACATCAAGATTTCTTGGCACATCTGGGTCATACATTACATGATGATCCAAGAAGATAATATTCTGAATGACAGAGGCAAGAGGGCAATAATAGTGTTTGTAACAGAGAAGCTTCAACATGGATAACCCCAAGACTAATTCATTTCATTGAGTTGAAAAACATCAGCTGCTTCTAGGATGCTCCCATACAACCTCCCCAATCTGCCCTCTGCTGCCTTCAACCGAGTAAGAAGGGACATTCAATTTTTTAAAAATTCTGGGTATTTTTAATTTCAAAGTTAATACATGAATATATGTATGTTACAAAAACTAAAATGATGTGGAAGTATGTAAAATAAAAATAAAGGTGCCTCTTTACCCTACACTAATGCTTTTAAGTCAGAGTTAATAAATTCTGTTGCAACTTCATTTAACAACAGGCTTCCAACAGCTTCATCGTGTTTTATTGTGGGGACACAACATGCTTTATTTAGTCAACCTCTACCAAAAAAATTGGATATTAATTACTTTTTACTGTTAACTAACAATGCAGTAATTAACATTCTCAATTTATAATATCTTTGCATATATATAATAAGATTTCTTTAGTTTTGATTCCAAAAAATGGAATTGCTGGCACAAAAGATATACAAAGGTTTGACATTTTGATAGATAGTGTAAAATTCTCTTCCAAAAAGACTGTGCCAATTTATATTCTATATAACAGTGTTGAATAGCGATTTCCTCACATCCTTATCAACAATATATATTATTTTTAAAAATGGAAAGGTACTTTTATATAATCACCCTTTATAACAAACAGTTCTCTGGGATGCAAACTTGGTACTCACTTTTCTAAGAGTTTGTCATAATTGTCATTGAGCAATTTTCGTTCTTTTTCCAAATCTTCAACTCTTTCCTGAAACTAAGAATGATAACAGATTGACTGAGATAAAATTTAAAAATCTATGCCTTGCACAAGATTTCCCTTTTCTGTTGCAGGATAGGGCTTGGGTGGGGAGTTTTCTACATCCATCTCCCATGTCTGTGAGGAGTCACTCAACTTGAAAGACTTCAACCAATTAAAGGTGGGGTAGAAACTTTTCTTGGAATCAGTGAGGATTCTTAGAAGTAAATTATCATGGTGTATGAGTTTCTAGTGTTAGGGAAGCAGAAAAATACCAAAAAAGAGCAAAGACTTTGGAGAACAGATGTAAGTATAAATCCTAGTTTTTCTCGTAATAGTATAATCTTGAGCAAATTACTTAACCACTTCGAGCCTCATTTTTTCTTGCAACAAAATACCCATAGTGTTGCTAAGATATACTTTTTAACAACCCTAAAATTAGAAAGTAACTTACAATTGATGGAATATTTTAATTAATATTATTTACCTCCGTCAGCGTTATCTGCAGAATGGACACATCCTCCAACTGGCTCTTCAAGCTCACAGCCTTCTTTCTCTCCTCCTTCAGCTCTGCCCTGAGTTCATTCACTTGGCTGAGGAGGGCCTCATGGGCTGCACTCTGTAATCCCTGTTTCTGGGGCAAAAGGAAATTGCTCTGGGAATAGTCACATCACTCACCGAGAGTGGACTCAAGATACCAGCCACCCTTGCATTAGCTAGTGAATGTTACAAAGAATGGCCTTGATTAATAGTAAGTTGCATTTGCATTGTAAATTGACCTTGTTTTTCACCCTAGAATTTCTCAGAAAGTATTGCTTTCCTGTTAGTAAGCATGTCCCACTCTGAGAAACTCTAATTTGTAATTGGAGTCTCAATTTTCCCAAGGTTCAAATTAAACCCTGGCTCTAGGGGAAGTACCACCTCTCACAGATGCCTTTACTTTCTAAGCTATTTGAGTGCTTTTTATGATGACATCCTCCTCCCTTTACACCCAGCAAAATGACATGTTACTGGTAGGAGTTAAGTGGCATTTTTGTGGTGGACACCTATGGTGAAGAACTATAGTGACTGAACTCTGCCATAGCAACTCTTAATCATGGACATTCATCCAGCTTCACCAGCACCCCACTCACAGGGGTGAATAGGGCCAAATATTTAACAACACCAGAGAAGATCTGCAATGACATCATTATGTCTCATCATCTCACACATGCTAGAAGAATGCTGTTAGGAATTTTTGAGCCAATGCTGTAATTCTCTCTAGCAATGGGTTGAAAAATACTATACTAAATATTTCACAACTCAGAACTAATATTTTAATTTTTATGAAAACAGTATAATAAATAGCTTCTGATAACAGTAGTAGTATCATTTGTCTTAATAGAAATTACATGACACAATAACTTTGATTTAGTTGGCTAAGTTCCGGTGTCACATTACATGAAGATGAACACGAATTTTGGGGATTTCATTACTCTAATTAATCAGAAAGAGAAATTTTTTATTAAGTACCTTTTGGAGCAGAGTTTCATATGTCTGAAAGAAAAAAATAAACATTACTCTATTGATATATCAACTTGATTACTACTTTGATGTTTATAACACAAATGTTTAAATATTTACTTTATTTATTTTTTATAATCCTCACCCAAAAATATGTTCATTGATTTTACAGAGAGAGTCAGGGAGAGAGAAAGAGAGAAAGATTGATGTGAGAGAAAAATATTGAACATTTGCCTCCCATATAGACCCTGACTGGGAATCAAACCCATAACTTTTGGGTATATGGGATGATATTCCAACCAACTAAGCAACCTGGCAAGGGCTAAATATTTATTTTAAAATACATTATTAATTAAAAATTCCCATAAATCAACTCAATCTGAATACCTACTTACTAATTAATTGCTGCTATTTCTTTGTGCCAGCTTGCCAGACAGTCTATGAATGTAATAGACCACACCATTTATCTTTTTAAAAAATGAAAAGTCTTTTATTCTAATTTGTCTTGCACTTGGTGGGTTATCCAAGGAAAATATTTATTTTCACACTAGGCACTATTATTAGCATGCTTCAGGACTCTTCCCAGTTTTAGAAATAGAAAAGAATAATAATAACAAAACTAACAACAGCTATTGGTTGAGCATGTTACTATGTGCTTCGTTATTTGTTACATTATGATCATTATAATTGTTTCACATATATTATCTCATTTAGTCCTTACAACAAATCTGAGAGGTAGGTAGTGTTGCCTAAACTTGAGAAATGAGAAACCCAAGCCTAGAGAGTAAAGTCACTTTGCTCAGACTCCAGGGTCTGTGCTATTGACCATCATATTTCACTGGGAAGGAATTAAGAGAATGCAAACTTGTTTTAGTACATGTGTATGAAAGCATGATTAGAAGGAAAATTGCTAAAGAAAAACAAATTATAAAACCTACATTTTAAAAAATTGTGGATTATTATTCACCATTAGGTCATTCTACTACTACCACGGACATAGGTAAGGACATTCAGTTTAGAATGGTTTTCTTCCTCTTTTCCTTTAATGCAAAGGAGGGATGCACAGATGTTATTAAAACCTAACCCCACAAATACAGGTACACCCTGCTTTTTGAAAGTTTTCATTCTGCCACTTAGCTCTTACGAAAGAGCTATTGTACACCTGTACCTGTTTTCACTAACTGACAGAAATCCGAAGAGGATTTTTACTTTTACAAAGAAAGGTGAAAAGCAAAAATGGCATTCAGTGTTTATTTTGGATGAGCCTTCGCAGAAGCAGCACACGCTGGAGCACAGCGGCAGGAGCAGTATGGCCAGGCTCCTTCCCCAGCACGATGCTTGGCATCTCAGCATCCAGCTGCCAGAGCTTGAACCGTGTCTGTGAGCATCTGTACTTTACCTTGATTTATTTTATGCTTCCACCAGCGAGATGTGTCCTAAAGTATCAGAAAGGCCTGAGGGAGCTCATCAGGGTGTTACACAGCATGAAACTGGGTGTAATTAAAACATTTCCATGGTGGTGAATAAAATAAAGATACTGTGGGTGCTTTGAACGTGCCTGCACCCACCATTCATACTATTTACAGGCAGAGAGGAAGAATCTTGAAAGCTGCACAAGTTACTATTTGCTTTGCCAGTAACAAAGTGGTCTTTTAGTCAGCATCCAGTTAGAGATAAAACGGGAACACTATTGCTTGAATGGACTGATAGGTGTGTAAAATGTGGTGTATATCATATCATTCTTGCATTTACATGTTAGTGTTACTTTATTTTACTTTATTTGTGTACAAGGTGCCAATATTTATTTGAAGGGCACAAATCTGAGAAAGCAACAATGAGTAGTGTATAGATTCAACATACAGATGCCTTGTATTAGCACAATTCATCTTGGATTTCAGGGACTATACTAATGCAAGATGGGATGTTACTGCTATTGGGTATGATGTGGTAGGTTATTTTGGGGGTCTTGGAACTCTCACAAACTTTTCTATATAAATTTATGGTAATTGCCTCTTTGCTTTAGGCCATTTCAGCTTATAGAAGCCTTATAAGAACGCTCTACTCTCAGATAGCTGGAGAACCTATACAGCTATTTATCCATACAATTTTAAATTATCTTCCCTCCCATATTTCCACATCCTTTAAATGCTACCAAAATTAACCAAATCAAAAGAATACAAACATATGTCTGCATCATTCTCGACATAGGTTTGGAGGCTGGCCTTGTAAAGATGCTTTTCATCTCCATCAGAACAGACATACCAGGGCAGTCCTACCTGCTGTCACTCTCAATCGATGACACCACCATCATCTAATCACCCATGCCAGAGATCCAGGCATCACATTTCATTTCTCCTCCTGCCTCATCCACTCCCCTTGGGTGACAAACTCCATTATTCTTTTTCCCGGACTTCTCCCAACACAATCCTTTTTCTGCAAGCCTCTCTCACCACCTTGGTTGGGACCCTTTTCTTTTCCTCCTTGGGCCATTGCACTCCCGTTTTACCTGATTTCTTCACCTCCCATCTTAATACCAGCCAGCCTATCATTCACGGTGCTATCAAATTATCTTTCCCTGTAGTTCTGTAATTTTTGAGAAGTTGAAAATTTCAGGACAGTATAAAGATTATAAAAACAATCATCTATAATCTTACTGCCCAGAATTAATAATTATTAGTGCTTTATAGTAGTTTTTCAAAGGTATTATTTTTCTATTTTTCGAAAATATTGTTTCTTTATTAAAATACATTTCAAGGATATCTCAGACATTATAAAAAAAGGTAAAGTGATTTCTTTGGAGAAAAACATTGGTCATGTTATCAACTTGCTTAAAACCTCTCTGCAGCTTTCCAAAGTCTACATTCCTGATAAAGCCTCTGAGAACCGGTGCCTGACATTTCTCGCCTCCGTGCCTTGGCCTACGCTTCTCCTGCTCTGGAAAGCCCTTCCCTCTCTTGCACAGTCAGTAACACCTGCTAATCTTTCAGTATGCCAGTATTCAACTCACGAATATACACCTTTATGAATCCTTTTCAGATCCTGCACCCCATCTTCTGATAAGTCTGACTACTCTTTCTTTTGTGTCTCCCCCATCCCCTGGATGTGGGTAATTATACTCATTTACTTCTTGTTCTCTGGCTCCTGTAAGTTTCTTGAAGGCAGGAGGTATCATTTATCTTTGTAATCTTTGTATCCCAGTACTCTGCACAGTTCCTGGTACTCAGTAAATATTTTTTTCAATTAAAGAATGGTGCCAATCTCTTAGACCCTCAATACCCTACTTCCACCATTCAGATAGGAGTTTCTATTGCATGGCAATGAGAAAAGAGCATAAAGCGATAGTGCTAGATAAGCCTGGACTCAAAGTCTGTTCTGTCCCTTACTTACCATCTACATGACTCGAGCAAGTTACTTAACTTCTTTTAGGCTCAGTTCCTTCACCTGTTAAATGTATTTACCTTGAGGGTTGCCAGGCTTAAATGAGATTATGCCTATAAGTATCTAGTATCGAGTCCAGCATATAGAGTACTCAGTTAAAGCTGCTCTTCTCTTCCTCTGTCTCTGCTCTTGGCTTCCTAACTTAATTACATTCTGCTTGCAGCTCTTGGCTGCAACCTTAACCCTGACACAAATTAACACCATTGAATTACACCTTATGGGGTAGGGCTTGAGCCTTCTTTGTAATAGAGAGATAATGGGAAGTAGTGGAAAAAGAATGGACTCTGAGTTGCAAGGCTTGGATTCATTGAGTATCACCTATAAGTTTTGTGACCTTAGATGAGTGACTTGGTTTCTCTTAGTTGTGGTCTCCTGTGTATGAAATGGAGACAACGATATTCATCTCTCTTTCTCTCTCCCTCTTTTAACCCTCAGCCAAGGATATGTATTTTTTAAAATTGATTTTAGAGAGAGAGGAATGGAGAGAGAGAGAGAGAAACATCTATCGGTTGCCTCCGTTACACACCACAGCTGGGGATGAATCCAAAACTCAGGCATGTGCCCTGACCCGTAACCAAACCCTTGACCTTTTGGCGTACAGGATGATGCTCCAACCGACTGAGCCACCTGGCCGGGACAATACTCACCATTTAACTAACTGTTTTTCCCCCAAAAAAGCAGAGATGATGATGGCAACTCACCTTCTGAACTTCCGTTAATTGTGCTTTTGTTGCTACCAATGTGATATTCCTTTCATGTAAGAGCTTCTTAAGCCGAATCAGCTCTATGTTCTCCTTGATGGAAGTCCTAGAGAAAGAAGACAGTGCTAAGCTATTCTGTGTGAGAATTGACAAAATTAAGCGTCTTTCCCCCTGATTTTGCACCAGTAAGAATCTCTTCCTCTTGCTTTGTGTCTGCCTATCTCCCCCACAATGCACCAGAAATAGGAAGTGTGTACACACTCCTGTAATAATCTCCTTTCTCTCATTTCCCCTCACACCAGTTGAGACTTGAGAGACCACCAACCTTAAATTTCATGTTCTGAGAAAACATAACAGCTGTTTTTAAAAATTATGGTGCTCACAGTTTTCCATTAACTTTGCAAAGAGCTACCAAGTCTGAGCTGTGTTTCCTTGGAGAAACCAAAAAAGTGTGTCTATGAATGGGAGACACAAGGGAAGATGATACTTTCTGAACCTAGGAGATCATGTTTTCTTGACCGTTTGGAAAGTATTGGGAGGATTTGGGCTCACTAAACTCTATCTCAGTGATTTACAGTTCTGGCTGCTTATTAGAATCATTTGGAAAAATCTTTAAAATTACACTGCCTATAGTCAGGAGTCCCCAACTCCCTCCTTTCCATCAGCAGAGGGAGACACATTACTGCCTGAGCTCCGCCTCCTGTCTCCTCCTAACACTTACCCCGGTCTGTGGAAAAGTTGTCTTCTACGAAACTGGTCCCTGGTATCAAAAAGGTCAGGGACCACTGCTAATCCACCCCCAAATAACTGAGAGGAAGTCTGTGAGGTGGGGCCCGGGCACCTGTGGTTTTAAAAAGTCTCCAGTTGAAAACTCATGGCCACATGAAAACCTGCACATAGATGTTTGTGGCCATTTTATTTATAATTGCCCAAAACTTGGAAACAACCAACTTGTACTTCAGAAAGTGAATGGGTAAATAAATTGTGATACATCCAGACAATGGAGCATTACTTGGTGCTTAAGAGAAATGAATTATTAACCAATGTCACCCCAATAAATGTAATGAAAATAATAATAAAAATAAAGAAATGAGCTATCAAGCCATGAAAAGACATGGAGGAAACTTAAATGCATATTGCTAAATGGAAGGAGCCAATCTGAAAATGCTACATACTATATGTTTCCAACTACGTGACATTCTGACAATGACAAAATCATAGACAGTAAAAAGATCTGTGGTGCCAGGTATAAGGTGGTAGGAAGGAATGAACAAGCAGAGCACAAAGGGTTTTTAGGGCAGTGAAACTACTCCATATAATACTATAATGGCAGATACATGTCATTATGCATATGTTCCAAAGAATGTACAACATGAAGAGGGAACCCTAAGGTAAACTATGGCCTTTGGGTGATAGTGATATGTCAGAGTAAGTTTATCCATCATGTCAAATGTACCACTCTGGTGTGGATGTTGGCAGTCGGGGAGGCTGTGTGGAGGTGACAGGGGTGTTAATGGGAAATATCTGCACTTCTTGCTCAAATAAAGTCTAGCTCTGGCTGGTGTGGTTCAGTGGATTGAGCACTGGCCTGCGAACCAATGGGTCCGGGGTTCCATTTCCAACCAGAACAGAAGCCTGGGTTGTGAGCCAGGTCCCCAGTAGGGGGCCCATGAGAGGAAACCACATATTAATGGTTCTCTCCCTCTCTCCCTCCCTTCCCCTCTCTCTAATATAATAAATAAATAAAATCTTAAAAAAAAAAGAATATCTTGCTTTTTCAGTTCATTATGGCTTGAGGCATGGAAGACCACACACTCTTACCGAAGCTCTGTGGCTTTCTCAGCACACTCCAAAGAGCCTCTTTGTTCAAAATCTTCATCTTTGGACCATATTTTCTCAGGAGATTTGGGTGGTTCTTCCACTTGCATAGCATTGCTGGTCATAATGTGGGCACTGTTGGGCATGCATAAACCAATGAGTTTAGTCATAATTATGACTTTGCTGAAATAAATTATACTTTTAGAATTAGGAACATTAAACACAAATAGAAGAAATAGAATTTGCTGTACAGAGAATGAGAATTAGGCTCTCACATAGATTAAAAAAAAAGAGTAGTTAGTAATCTTGGTATGTGTGGAAGATAATCTGACTAAATATAGCTTTTAAGTGTCAAACAAATATAAATGAATTATGATCTAAGGGACAAGAATGTAAAGAGAAAAAGAGGCAGTACCTTCAGTTAAGGAAAGGTTTTTATTTTTCATTCCTTGGAAGAAGAGAGATGCTTATTGTCCATTTTTAAACAATGAAGTTAGAATTTGGCCTATGGTTGACTTTCATCTTCTCTGATTATGCTGAAAAGACTCGAAAATACCAACATTTGCTTGTTCCCTAAATGATATATTTTCATACAAAGCTGAAAGAGTAACCACACAGGATAAAGGAAAAGAACTCACAGCTTTCGGGGTTGACTGGATATTTCACCTCTGGTTTTTACATCTGTCATGTGCTCCTTGAAGGTGGGAGGGGCTGTGTAGCTCAGCCTGTCCCTTGGCTCTGAAAGTTTAGACAAAAGATGCAGACTCTGGCAACAGATTTCTCTAGAATACCAAGTGCTAGCACTGGAACACCAAATTCTGGAAGCAGGGACCCTTGAGACTGGGGAAATCTTTATATGACCACTGACCCCAACGGAGAGGTTCTCAGTCCTTACCCCTGCATACACATGCAACTACAGGTTTTTAAGTCAACAGGACTACAGACTCTCAAAGTAAGTGAGTATAAAAGGCAAGAAAGTACAAGCTTGCCCAGGCCTGGTGTATAATTGGTACTCGATAATGCTGAAGTTAAACTGAACTGAAATTTGAAATTACTTAGTTTTTCTAATTTTAGCTGTTTTTGCAAAGATTTGGTTGGCTCAAGTAGGGAGCTTAGAAATGGAGGAGCATGCTAAACAAAACCTAACATTGAATCCCAGGGTAAAGACACTCCATTCCTATGGATCTAACTCAGAGCTGAGGAAATTTAGGAGGAGCAGGAAATTTACACACAAAAGTTTGCTTAATCCAATGTTGTGTTTCACAGCAGCCAGAGAGGCTCAGCCACTTGGAACACAGGAAGAGGAGAAATTGTAGCTCCTCACTCACAGCCTGACTTTTGGCCTGGACTTCAGGAATGGGCTTTGGGAATCTCTGAACCCACGGAATTGTATGCAAAGTTTTGTTTAAGTGTTGTGCATTTTTCTTGGGAGGAGGCCTTGCTTTGATTATCTTTTCAAAGGAGTCCACTTCCCCCAAAAGGCTAAGAGCTCCAGTTTTAGAAGCACAGCCCCAGAGTTCCCGAGTCCCAGTAGAGGTATCTATCTTAAGAACACTGAGTCTCACACCTAAGTGGGAGGGACATCAACGTTCTCTCTGCTGTTTTCTAGCCCCACTGCAGGACTTCACTAGCAAATTGCCGTTCAGGTTGTCTGACAGTCCTCTGAGCAGTACTTCAGGGTGAGAACTGAGATTTTTGAACCTGACATCCCACTCAGGGCAGAAAATAAACCCCCAACCTTTCAGGGAGGTAGAAAGGAATGCAAATAAGAGAACAAATAACAAAATAGAGTGGCGGGCGAATGAAGCAGTGAGGAGGAAAATGTGGCTGGCAAATCAACCTTCCACAGTGTCCCAGCCCTGTCGGGGACACAGGCCTGCCTGAGCCTCACCCCTGTTGGGTTTCTTCTGCATCACTGGCGCGCCGGCACTGTGGAGCTGTCTCTGTCTCACGTGGGACCGAGGCAGGGTGCGGCGGGAAACAGGGGGGCCCTCGCGCTGGAACTGCTGTTGCAGCCCAAGCACCACGGGACGCTGCCGCCACCCCGGGCTCCGCCACCGCCTAGCGGGCTCCGAGGGTTGCTCCAGGGTCGTCACCTCTGCCCTCCGGTCCCTGCCCACAGCGGTCAGTCGCAGCAAGGCTGTCCTCATCCTAAGTGTGAAAATAGAATTCGATGTATGTGATCTCTGTGACGGTTATTTCTAGAGTTTATTTGGTGGCAAATAATCTGAATTGATCTATGATATAAATTTATCTACCATAGTCCGTTATTTACACTTAAAATTTTTATTTTCTAGAAAAAAATCTGTCCCCAGTACACTGTAACACTTTGAGGGCAAGGACACAGGGTTCGTTTCATCTTTGCCCATTCTGTTGCAGCGATCACAATATACTTGTGTATATTTATTTTTTAATTATATGCATTTACTTCTATACTAATAAATTATGGCCATTATAAACATAAACAGCACACTAATTTTTAAAGGGAGGATAATTACATATAAGTAGAAATGTTAACATTTACTTCTCCCAAGCCAATTGTCTGCACACCTGTGTATATGCACCCAACTCTGAGGACTAGTCTCCTACAGCCCCTGGCATACTCAAAGCCTTATCCATAGCAGATAGTCATCACTCTTTTTTGTCTTGACCTAAAATCATGCTTTTTACTATTATCATCAGATTCTATGGTCCCACTGCCTAGCAGTCCTGACATTTACTGCCCATGTGTCTTTGGGCATGTCATTAAATTTTGTGCTCAATTTCCTGATCTATGAATAAAGATAAAAACTGTACCTGCCCCATTAGACTGTAAGGAAGATTAAGTAAATTAATATATGTAAGTGCTTAGGACAGGGATGGTGCACTGTAAGCACTGTATGAGTTAGCTATTATTACTTATGTTTATATCCAGATAAAGAAATCAAGGCATAAAATAGCTTAGTAACTTGCCTAAAGCCAGGGAGGGAGGATGGAACCCAATTCAGCCATTTAATATCTATAATCTCAGATACTTTTTGGTTAACAACCAAGAAGCAAGATTTTTTGACCCATGCAACGTTCTGACTTCAGATTCTTGAGTTCTCCACAATATAAAAGAATCTCCAGCTCTGAATAGCACTGGTTTACAGTGGAAACCTGCAATTTTGTAGATTCTAAATGAAGTTCTGAACCACTATTAGGCATTACGATAAAAAAGCAAAAAACTGCTCTTGACATTGGGGAATGGGTTTGACATAGCTAGTCCTCAGTGTTGATTGAAGTTTTCCTGGTGCTTACAACTAGGCCTTTTTATTGTCCTGTTGGGCACAATCTCACAGAATACGAATATCAGACAAGGCCATTTGAGACTAAGGAAGAATGATACAAAGTAAGTCCACTGTATAATTTTGTCTAAGCACAGACAAAAATGCAAGGTCACTGTGCCACCACAAAATACCCAACATCCCTTTCTCCTGGCTAACATGAGTGACTGCTACTTCTTTACCTATTAGAGATATAGCCTCATTCTCTTACCTCCCCGTAGATGAGATTTTTAAGATACGCAAACGCAAAAGTGTCTCTACTGTCTGAAATTTCCAAACCTGGAACAAACTCCTGTTACCTTGGACTTTTCTCCAAATCACTCAACTGAAGCTTGAATCCTATAATAGGTTCTTTCTAAAACATTCCTGAGGTGGACACCCATGGTGTGCATTTTTTCTAGCTGCAATGAGTGACAAACTCGACTTGCTCAACTATAGGTGTGTTCCTGTTGGTCTTTGCCTGGAAGGCACTGACACCAATATCTTCGAGATATGTCCTAGATATATAATCCTGGAACTTTCATTCTTCCCATTGGTTTATCTACCTAATCTCCATCTCAGATTCCTCTCCAGGTCCCTGGTGTACTTTTGAAAGCCAGCACTATAAGGTCACTGTATATAGATTTTTGAGTTAAGAGCTTTCAGCTCTGCCACTCACTGGCTGTGACTTAACCTCTTGGTTAAGTCATATAGTTAATACATATAAAGCACTTACAACATACTTCTATATAATAAATGATTGATTTAATTTTTGGTTTGTTTTATAAATTGAAAAAAAACCCTCTCTTACTTAATCCTACAGTCCTTGTTCCCTGAGATTTTGCTATTCCCCTTGTCCCTACCCCCTTTTTGGAGGCCATGGCATAATCTTGCCCAGGATTTTGCTCTGTGAGTTAAAATAGCTCTTGATAATGCTTTGTGGCCTCTGGCCACAGTCTATTGACCCGTTTGGCAAGAAAACAAAATAAAGCAATATTGCTTTCAAAAATTATTTTTAAGTTAACCATTTGTGATATTTGAATTATTTTCTGGTGAAGACAACTCAGGAAAATGTGTTCTTTCTGGTTTAGTGTGGTATGGGCCTGATGTAGATACAGCTTTTAAAGACATAGGAACTTGAGATACCTTTTGATCTCATCCCGTTGCTTCCAAGAAAGCTCCTTCAGCAGCATGTGCTCTTCATGAAGACGAAACAAACTGTCCTCTAATTCTCTCCGGCTCATCTTGCTCAAAGTTGGTTGAATTTTAATTTTCTTACCTACACTCCCAGGCAAGAGCAAATGGAGATTAATTTTACATGTCATTTTAAAAACCCATCAGGTCCCTCATCACATTTTGTCCAGAGGGCTTAAGTCTTTCCTGAGTCAAATATTTAAGAAGAAATGAAGAAGTGTATGAAATGTGTACTAATGGACCTCTTTATCATTCCATGTCACTCTTAGATGAGGAATATCATTTCATGTCATTCTAACATGAGGTATGATTCAACTTCCTGTCTAGAAAGAACATTCTAAAAAAAACATCAAATAGAGCTATTAGCGTGCCTAATTTGTCTTTTTAATTTAACTTCTCTTTTTTCTTCTTATTAGATAATTTGGGCCTAGACAAGGATTGTGCCCACAACTGTCTTAAAATCTCCTATTAGAAAAAGGGTAGAAACATTTCTTTTTTTTTATTGTTATCCTATCGCAGTTGTCCCAGTTTCCCCCCTTTGCCCTCCTCGGCCCAGCCTACATCCTGCTCCCACAGTCAATCCCCACACCGCTGTTTATGTCCATGGGTCCTTCACACCCGTTTTACCACTAGTCCTTTCCCCTTCTTCCCGCCATTATCTCCCTCTTCCCTCCCCTCTAGTTTCTATCACTCTGTCCATGTTTTCATGTCTCTGGTTCTATTTTGCTTGTTAGTTTATTTTGTTCATTAGATTCCTCTAATAAGTGAAATCGCATGGTATTTGACTTTCACTGACTGGCTTATTTCACTTAGCATAATATTCTCCAGTTTCATCCATGCTGTCACACAAAGTAGAATTTCTTTCTTTCTGTTGCAGTGTGTAAATGTACCAGTTTTTAATCTAATCATTTACTGATGGGCACTTACACTGTTTCCAACTCTTGGCAATTATAAATAGCAATTTTAGGAACATAGGGGTTAATAAATTCTTTTGAATTGGTGTTTTAGGATTCTAAGGGTATATTACCAGCAGTGGCATCACTGGATCGAAAGTAAATCCATTTTTAACTTTTGAAGAAATTTCATGCTGTTTTCCACAGTGGTCACACCAGTTTACTTTCCCATCCACAGTGTACTAAGTTTCCCTTTTCTCCACATCCTCACCAGCACTTGTTTGTTGAATTATTAATGACAGACATTTTGACAAGAGTGAGGTGGTGTCTCATTGTGGTTTTAATTTGCATCTCTCTGATGCCCAGTGATGCTGAGAATCCTTTCATATGTCTCTAGGCCCTCTGTGTGTCCTCCTTGGAGAAGTGTCTATTCAGAACCTTTGTGTATTTTTAATTGGATTATTTGTCTTCCTAGTGTTGAGTCATAATTTCTTTATATATTTTGCAGATTAAACCTTTGTCCGATGTATTATTGGCAAATATGTTCTCTGATATGTTTGGTTCCCTTTTCATTCTGCTGATGTTTTCTTTAGCTGTGCAGAAGCTTTTTTTTTTTTAAAGATTTTATTTGTTTATCTTTAGAGGGGAAGGGAAGAAGAGAAGGAGAGAAATATCAATGTATGGTTGCCTCTCATGCGTCCCCTGCTGGGAACTGGCCTGCAACCCAGGCATGTGCCCTGACTGGGAATTGAACCGCAATCCTTTGGTTCACAAGCCTGCGCTCAATCCACTGAGTTACACCAGCCAGGACAGAAGCTTTTTAATTTGATGTAGTCCCATTTGTTTTTTTTTCTCTCTTTTATTTCTCTTGCCCTAGGAGATATATCAGCAAAAATATTGCTGCATGGGATATCTGAAATTTTACTGGCTATGTTTTCCACTAGGACTATGGTGTTATGACTTATATTTAAGTCTTTTCTCCATTTTGAGTTTATTCTGGTATATGGTGTGAGTTGGTGGTCTAGTTTCATTTTTATTGCATTTACCTGTCCATTTATTGAAGATAAATTTATTGAACAACATTTATTGAAGAGGCTATTTTTACTCCATCATATGTTCATGCCCTCTTTGTCAAATATTAATTGCCCATAGAGTCATTGGTTTACTTCTGGGCTCTCTGTTCTATTTCACTGATCTGTGTGTCTGTTCTTATGCCAGTACCAGGCTATTTTGATTATAGTGACCTTGTAGTATAGTTTTATTATTAGGTATTGTGATCCCTCCAACTTTATTCTTCTTTCTCAAGATTGCTGTGGCTAGTTAGATATTTTTTGGTTCTGTATAAATTTTTGGAATATTTGTTCTAGATCAGTGGAGAAACAATTTTTAACTACTAAGAGCAATCTCATTTGTTTCTGTGGTCTGGAGAAACTGTTCCCATTAACCGCCTCCTTGGAATAGAGCCTCTGCTCGCTCTAAGCCGAGGAAACTAGAACATACTTTCCAGTGTGTGAGTTTTCACTGGCCCAGGGTCAGCTCTGCTCTCATGGGAACCATTCTGAAACCACAGACCTCAAAATACAGCTCCTTCTCTAGAAAAAAGGGAGCTCAGAACTTCAATCTCAGAACCACTTCAGCCACCACTACTGTCTCTCTGATCTGTCCTTTGGAAATGATGACTAGTAAGTTTTTTTCTAAACAACTTTATTGAGATATAGTTGACATGTAATATACTGAACATATTTAAAGTATAAAATTTAATTATTTTTGCATATGTATATGTGAAATCATTACAATTAACATAAAGACGCACATGCCCACATATCTATTTCCACATGCTAGAAATCACAAGTTCACTCTGATACCTCCATTTAAGATCCAAAGTCGTATGGTTTATTCTAGCCTTCTCCTTTCCATAATTGCATCTCTCTCCTCAGTGAGAAGCCAGCTCCCACCATCCTCAATATATTTATTTATTTCCTCAATGTCTTTGAATGAAACTAGTCTCTCAGCTATGTGAACTATCTTCTTATCTAGGACACTGTTGAATCAGTCTGGCCTGTATAAAATCAGTCACATCCTGCCCCCCCCAATCATGTGGCCTACTGACTCATACTTGTCTGCAAAGGCAGAGAAATACCCCATCAACCCTGGTATTACAACTGCCGAAGTTTCTTTTTTTTCACATTATATTATATTATGTTCTTTCTCTTACTTTGTTTTTTTATAAATTTATAATGTATTTTCAGTAGTACAGATAAATCTAATAAAATTGTTATTACGAACATGATTATTTCCCTTCGGAATTAGTGAAATTAAAAAAAACATAATTTTTGAAAATATGCCAAAAATATTCCCTTAATGTGGTCATATCTGTTTATGGCATCAAAAGATTTTCTTCTCCTAAATAAAGTTACTAAGATAATTTTAAGATTACTTAGAATAGAAACAAAAAAAGATACAACTTTCAAACCTATCAACTTACAAAATGATGTGGCTAATTGCTAGACAGACTTAGCTTAACAAAAATACTTGTCACTAAGAAGAAAATTTGTAACATGACCATAAACATTTATAAAAGTTAATTTACCGGCACTTCTCTTCATTTATTTTTAGCTATTTCATAACTAACAGAAGGGAAATTGGACACAGTTTGTATAAAACCTACCAAAGTTTCTTTTTTCACAAAGTAAATGTGTAAACCCTTCACTTTGCTACCGTGTTCTACAACTCTTTAATTGTGCTGAAGAAATATTGAGTCTTTTAGATTTTTGGTTGTTTGGATGGCTTCCAAACTAAGTAAATTCTCTAGGTGTTAGTTTCTGTACAATTAGGTCAGTTCTATGACTTTTACAACTTTGAAAATTATCTCAGCCAATTTATTTTCATGTGCTTTGTTTGCGGAACAGTTAAAACTTTGAGAAGCCTAAAATTCCCAAATCTGCATTGCTAAAAAGCATCAAGGACAGTATAGATTTTTCACCATTAAAATATTATAAACTCATTAGCATCAGAAATTGAATGAGCTCTAGACATTACATGGATTTTGTTACCTCTCAGCTTGACTAGGTCCTTCTATGGGTCCTGTTTTTGTTTAATATTTTTATTGATTATGCTATTACAGTTGTCCTGATTTTCCCCCTTGAGACCCCTTCACCCAGAACCACCTACTCCCATAGGCAATCCCCCCACTATTGTTCATGTCCATGCATTATTCATATATGTTCTTTGGCTACTCCATTTCCTATACTGTACTTTACATCACCACGATTATTCTGAGATTATCTATTTGTACTTCTTTTTTTTGGTTTCTTAACAAATATTTATTCAGCATCTTCTAATAGTATAGAACTGTGCTACCATATATTTAAGTAGGGTAATTTCTTTTTTTTAAATTTTATTTAGTTATTTTTCAAGTACAGTTTTTTTTCTATTTGTATTTCTTAATCCCCTCATCTTTTCCTCCATTCCCCCACATCCCCCTTCCATTGGAAAACTATCAAAACGCTCTCTATATCCATGATTCTGTCTCTGTTCAACTTGTTTGCTTAGTTTGCTTTTTAGATTCAATTGTTGATACATACACATTTATTGCCATTTTATTTTTTATAGTTTTGACCTTCTCTTTCTTAAATAAGTCCCTTTAACATTTCATATAATAATGATTTGGTGATGATGAACTCCTTAGCTTTTTCTTATCTGGGAAACTCTTCATCTGCCCTTTGATTCTAAATGATGTTTGCTGGGTAGAGCAGTTTTGGTTGTAGGTCCCTGCTTTCTGTGACTTTAAATATTTCTTGCCAATCCCTTCTAGTCTGCAGTTTCTTTTGAGAAATCAGTTAACAGTCTTATGGTAATTCTTGTGTAGGTAACTAACTGATTTTCTTTTGCTGCCTTTAAGACTATCTCTTTATCTTTTTTAAAAATCATTTTTATTTATTTACTTTTAGAGACAGAGGAAGGGAGGGAAAGAGTGAGAGAAACATCAATGTGTGGCTGCTTCTCATGCACCTCCTACTGGGGACCTGGCCTGCAACCTGGGCATGTGCCCTGACTGGGAATCCAACAGGCGACACTTTGGTTCCCAGGCAGGCACTCAGTCCACTGAGCCACACCAGCCAGGGCAGATTATCTTTCTTTAAACTTTGGCATTTTAATTATGATGTACCTTGGAGTAGGCCTCTTTGCCTCC